AAATTCGAAAGCCGCTTAATTACCAATCTTACATCCCGATTTCAAAGCACTTCTGCTTCATCTAAACCAAAGTAAATGGTACTGTGTTATGTATAACTTGATGAGGAATAACATACTGGAAGGTCTGGAAAATTTAAGAAAATGGGAAGAGCAGAGACGAGAATAACAACATAAGGGTACTTAAAACATGGAGTCACACAGCCAAAAAACCCGTTTTAGTCATAAGCCCCTCTCTCGAGGGCCGGGACTCGGCCGCGCGAGGGGCTTAGTTAAGCTAATATAAAAACTTTGTACACTACGGTCCAATCAGGACATCGCGGCGATATCGTGTCTCGCGATATCGCAGGGAGATCGGGCCGATCTCGATTTATTATCCTCACATACGATATCGCCCCGATGAAATCGAGGACATCAGCGCGATATCGTTGGTTTAGGTTCTGTGAACGCTGGAAGACCCAGATTCAAATTGAAAGAATGGATTTGTATTCAAAAAAATCAATTCAAACGGTTGAATTTGAATTGATTTCTGGGTGCAGGAAACGGTGACCCAGTGCTGCACCGTAGAGCTTTTGTAGTTCTCGGTTTGGGGCGATACGGACCAATCCAAAGCTGTTTGATCAGTGAGCACGGCTTGGTGATTGCATTCAATGGGATCAACAAAGACATTTTCCTTAAAAAGAGGTAAAGCAGAGGGAAACAAAAAAGGACCCAAAAAGTGAAACGAGTCGAGGCTCGTAAACGATAACAAAAAAGGAAACGAGTTGGAACTTGTATGAAAGAGATTGGATGGATCTCAATGAATGTGGATGGATACAAGATTTTGTTCAATAGTTGTGCAAACATGGTTTCAGAATGAAGCCAAACAAGGCCAAACGGTAAAGGTTGATGAGAAGATATTGTGTATATGAAGGTAGAAAAATGATGAAGTCCGAATTTTGTGAAGGGGGAGAGAGAGAAGAAAGTGCGAAAGGACTTCCAGTGAACAACTTCCTCTTTTGTGAGAAGCCCTTCAACATACAGTCGACTCCCTCGAAACCCATACCCCTCTTACCCCATACTCCCAGTTAATCCATGGAAATTTCAGTCCATAAAATTGGTAGATGCCCTAAAATAACTCCCTTGAAAGCCATAAACCCACAAAAGCCATAGCAATTGGGGTCCATAAAAAGGTATGGATTTCGAGGGAGTCAACTGTAGTCTTTTTTCAATCTCAGGCCCCTGTCAAGGCCTGAGCAAGCTGTGGGACAGGTCTCAGGATCCCCTCTTGGGTGTCAAACGGACCCAAATAGTTGACAGCCAGAACCCAAAAGACATCGCGAGGATATCTTGCAGTTACCGGCGCGATGTCGTTGGGGA